TATCGTATTTAAACTCTACCAGTTACAATGCCCAAGATACCTGATATGGCTTGTTAAGAAGTTCCTGGGGAATCGACAAAATGTGGTACAAATAAACGGAAGCCTTTCATACCCATTTCCTAACCCACATAACAGTGAAAGAACATTCATATTCTCAGAATATTCCCTCAAAGTGCTTTTTGGAATGTTCTTTTAGGAATGTTTGATGAATATTCTAAGATTGTTTCGATTGAAATATTTATTTTTGAACGTTCTATTTATGTACTAGGAATGTTGCTTCTATGCACTTACCTGAAAGATTGTGCTAAGAACCTACTTTATATAACAATCTTTGAATATTTTCATACGAACATTATTATAATGTACCCTAAAAAATGTTCTTTTGGCTAATATCTCTATCAAGTATTAAGAATATACCTACCAAGTTGTGCTGAGAACTTTATGTAGGTAGGTAACTATGATAAGAATATTTTCATATTGTTCACCTAATTATCTGAAGTACCTACTCAAAAATCATAATTTAACAATTAAACAATAATCTATCTAGAACCTACTAAGCATATTATAGGTATATTCTTTTCCTTTTGCTTTGTAGGACTTCCAAGAGAGGGAGCCACGCGCTATTAAAGATCTACATCTTACCTCGCGTTTGAATCACCTTGGAACTTGTTTCTCTCAGTAGGTGTGCTTTGACGAGAACATAACAAGCTCGAAACCGGAGCTTTGGTTAAATACTTGTGTTTTCCAGATAAGTTTTCCAACAACTCTTTCACTGCCTTTAATATAAAAGGGCTGGAAGGATCATTATTTGGAAGCGAAAATTAACATTCCAAGTATATCCTTAGAATCAACCAAGAATGTTATGTCTAGGATGCATATTGAGAATGATATATGTAGATATATTCTAAGAATATTTCAAGCATTTTGGTATAATATTCTTTTGAGAACATAACTATAATGTAATAGAAACATTCTTTGAATGTGAGAATACCTATACATATCGAGCATATTTTTAGAATCAAACAAGAATATTCTTTTCAGGATGTACTGAGAATCTCATAGGTATATTCTAGGAATATCCTAATGGATTTCTCAGGAAGTTCTTGGGTATTGCAAACAGTATTTTTACAATCTTTTCTCAGAACATTCTCAGGACATTCGCAATGGTTTTGGCGAACATTCTAGGCACATTCCTCCTAAAAAAAGAACATTCTTAATACATTCTAAGGATGCAATTTTGTTATGTGGGAATGAGCAGGGAACACCGCAGGGATCATCACTGTTGCCATCGCTCTATAATATTGATTGTCACGACATCTTCCCTTCAACAAACCAGGTTACAGTTGCAAGTCCATATATCATACAATTTGCAGACGATCCCGGTATTATATCACATCACAAGAATATATCCCAAGCTGTTCAATCTCTACAAATAGCACTTAACAGAGTGATTGTCTGGTTAGATAAGTGGAAACGAGAATTAAATCCTGAAAAATCGCAATTTATAATATTTCATCACAAGATCAGCGAAGCTTCACCAAAACTAGATATTCTCAACCACCAAATGCGCCCTCAATCTCACATCAAATACTTGAGTATTTATTTCGACAATAAATTAAATTTCAAATATCACCTGTCAACAATAAAGAAAAAGACAATAACAAGAAGTAAGCATTCTAGAAACCTAACATACAAGGACGAGGGTATTAACATCAAAACTGCATGTCACGTCTACACAACAATAGGCAGACCAATTTTGGAATACGGACAAATAATTTTCAGTGCTCGTAGAGGACCTGCCATCCAGATAATAGAAACTGCAGAAAGAACTAGTCTCCGTAAAATTACAAAAATCAGACATTCTACAAACCTGCTTCATAATTCATCAAATAAAATGTATCAAAAAACTGGAATTGAACCAATCATTCAAAGATTTCAAAGTCTTACCGAGAAGTTTGGCAGCAGACCACCCAACATAGCGATAATCAGTCCATTCATTTTGGAAATTCCACAAGGCCTTATCAGGAAAAGACAATATCCAGAAAAAACTGTTTTCCAATTTATACAAAATAATAGATTGTAAAAAGCTAACATAGGTACATAGTTGTGTTGTACCTACTTGCATTGTTTATTTAATTTTTTATTTTTATTTTCCATCGAATGTGGATTTATCTGTTATATATTTATACTTTGTGAATACATATAAAATTGTAGATATCAAAGGCTGAAAGACCTCGGTCGATGGCCCTTTGAACAATTAGTTCAATAAATATTGTTTACTACTACACTCAAGTCAGGAATGGAAAAAATCAAATAATTCAAGCCTAGTCTAGAAAAAAGAAATATGCCTTTAATAATAATAATAATAATAAATAGGTATAACTTTCAATACCCTTTTTTTGAATATTTGTAACAAGTTTTTCTTTTTTTAACTGACCATCTTTAAGGAGTCATTCATACTGCCCCAGAGACGTAGATTTCTTTGATAATGCTGAACGATTTGTAACAATATGGCATTTGATTTTTTGAAAGTGCATGATACAATATGACCGTTTGCCATACTTATAATCAAGTGCAAAAGTGGTGCTTATAATTCAAGTGATGCCATACTTGAAAAACTGGTATTCTGCAACGTCTTCCAGCTACAAGTGGTACAAGATGTAGAATTATTTATTACAGTATGGCATCATTGTATTCAGTTTGTTTCTATTCTGAATAACATTCGAAAAATCTGAATTACAATTGAGATTTTTAGAATTTCATTTGAAAAATCTGAATTACAGCTGATACTTTCTGAATTATTACAATTGAAAAAGTTGTAGATTGATTGCTCACAAATAGCTGAAAGCCATTTTTTTCCATTTGATTTTTGCCTCTGGAAGTTGGACATTATCCAAAGTGGCCTATCAGAGTCTGGAAGCTGTGAACTCTTATAAAAGGGTCATCTTACACTTTAATCACCCAAAACGCAACTTCCATAGATCCAAAACAATATAGATCAAGTCTTGGAAGCTCTCCAAATCATGCAACTTTTCCCATTTTGCTTTTTGTCTCTAAAAGTTGTTATGAGATGCCCTATTTGCTCCTCACAAAGTCAAAAAACTCTTTATCAGCGATTTCTAGTACTGAAAGTTTCTAGAGGCAAAATCAAGCATATCCAAATTTATACCTTTAACAATCTTTCTTCCTGTAAAACGCGCAATCTCGCCCTTATAGGCGGTTACACACGGACGTGGATGTCTTGATACATATACGTGCATACATCAACGTGCAAACAACAACGTGCATGTCGCGTTTGTACAGACGCTCGCACAAAACTGCAGTCTTGCTATTCTTGCTACAGTAATCCGAGCGTGCATACAAAATTTCTAGCGATTCCACATTCAAAAACGCGACGATATTTTGCATACACATTGATGTTTTTGTTTGCGCGTTCATGTATGTACGTACATGTTTTCAGACATCCACGTCCGTGTGTAACCGCCTTATCACCAAAAACGCAAATTCTAATCAAAATAAAACACAATAGGTACAACAAAAAAAAAACACCCAGCTCTTGACCTTTTCCCAACTAGATTTTTGTCCATCATTATTTTCCCTAAGTACCCAAAATATATGCAAGACTGAATTTCTGGCACCTACCTACTTTATCGACCACTGCAGTCGCAAAAAAGGGTTTTAGAAGATTTGTGAACCACTTTATAAAGGCAATAATACTCGCAAAACGGAAGCTGGAACTCATGGATGTGTGTGTGATTTCATTGCTCTGGTGACCAAAACACGCATTCTCTATAGGCTTTTTTCATAGTTCTGAATAGCAATTTTATATTCTTCCATTAAAAACTCCTTCTCAAAGGTGCACTTGCAAAACAACAGTTCTCAGCATCAAAGCTGTATATGATTCCTCTTGTAGCCAAAATGTTCCTTCTGTATAGGTTTTTTTCAGAGTTCTGGATAGCACTATCCGCTATTTCAATATTCTCTTATTAAAAATCACTTTCTACAGAACTCGGAGGACCTAATCGAAAACCAAGAGTTTCTGGTGATAAAGTAACTTACTTTCAAGTGAATTCTGTTTTTTTTTTATTTGGTTTTTTAACATATCTATACTTTTTTTAGAACTGCGAAATCAAAATTTCCGCTTACCCTATGATAATAATTACCTTATTGTTTTTACTAGTATAAGTTATCAATGAGTTGGGATCATTAAGTCTTAGCTCAGAGGAGTCTTCCTTTAACTACTGTGGAAATTATCCCTATTTCGAATGTCGGCTCACGCAATTGTGAAAATTTGAGAATTTTTCCTTTTTCTTGTTGTTTTTGTTCACTATAAATTGGGGTCTCAATTAGGGTGCTAACTACTATTCAGGTTTGGCGCCCAGTTTTCTATGAATAGCAGCGTTTTTCATCAAGCGCCCGAATCTGACCAAAAAAGTAACTGTTTTGTGCACTATGAGAGCCAAAAGTTATTGAAGATCTCATTCTCGTTTCCTTCTCAAAAATATCTACATTGTTTTGTTCTTTTTTCGGGAGTAGGTAAAATACCTCTTGATACACGGCGCTGATTCACTGGTTCTGGTTCTGGCTATTCAACTGCAACCTTCAAAAAAAGGAACATTTTTTGGGTAGAAAAGGTAATAAGCCACAATAGAAATAGGCATTTTTTGTAAGCGAGTTATACATTATTGATTTTGTAAAAATTTCTATCTAGTACTAGTCTTATCATTCAAGAAAGCAAATTTATTGAACATAATATTTATTTTTAGGATCTAAAAAATAGATCTTTTACAAAATTTTTACTATTTTCACTTCGTCGTGTTGAAAAACGAGGCTAGAAAACGTTAATATAATTATTTTAAAAAAGGAAATTTGTGATTTTTTAGCCCTTCTCTACACAACCTAGCGAAACTCAAATTTATTTGATAAAATAGGTTTTCGTAATCCATTGGGGCCAGTTGAGGAACGCTCCCGTTTGCCTCTCATTTGAATGACAATCAAATTGTCATTCAAACCTTATACGCTCATATATCCTTTAGTTATACCTTAATTTTCTTTATCTTTTATAGCTGAATTGTATTTTGAATACAACTACCAAATATTTTTAACGAAAATTCAAACAATACGAAGATGAAGATCGATTGGATTACATTACTTGGCTATGGAATCGTTTTCTGGATGTTCCTTTACATCACAGACCTTTTCAAAGCACCCTCAAGTACAATGAGAACCTCCGAAGGTAATAGATTTTAAATTTTAATCAATAACACTCTATTTAATGTAAAACCCTTCAAATAAATTGAATTTAAACCTCATGTCAAATATTTTTGCTATTTTTCTCAAACAATTTCTGGTTTTACAGAACTTTATGTATATCTTAAATACCTGAGGAAGCCTTTATTAATTAAACTCAAAAATAAAATAAAACGAACACAATTATGAAACGTGAAATAGACCTTAGCTGTATATCTAGGCATTGTTCTGCTTCCCATCTAGTAATAAATTATTGCCGTTTCTAGAAGTAGAAGATCTTTGTGAAAAACCCGACCGAAATCAACCACAATTCAGTGCAAGTCAACTATCCTGGACAATGTTTATGGTAAATTCGAGCTCGCTATTAGTTATTGTGATCATCATATTATTCATAATGGTTATTATTACAATAAGCCGGATAGCCTGGAATATATTATCAAAGTATGTATTAGGTATAATATTCTTTGCTATCAAACTAATCATAATACGTTCCTACTTTCTAGAGTTGGAGAAAAAATGAAGATCGAATTTAAAACAGAGGACAAAGAAATGCTTCGTCTACAAAATTTTTCGATTAAAGAAAATTCATATTTAACCAGAAAGTTAGTTGAAGTGCTTGAAGAGAAAACTAAATTGAGTAAACAAATAACAGTTCTGACAAATGAAAATAGGGATATCAAAACACAAAATACATATGTGTTCCGACAGAATGAAGCCCTAACAGAAGAATTGGACATTGCTAAAATAGAGTGTCAATCTTTGTTAGAGAGATCGCAAGCTACAGAGGCTAAATTTAGAGAATTCAGTCGAATATTAGACGAACACAAGGAAATAGAAAATAAGATACTTGGTTTGGATCTTACTTTGGATACTGAAGTTGTTAAATTGACCAACAGCCTCTCCAAATTGCTCGATGGAGGGCAGCAAACATTATCATCTGAACTTGAATACAGTACTGAGAGTAGTGAGCAGTTACCAGAAATAGATGATAAGAATGATAATTGTGTGTTAAAGAGTTTGGACATGCCTTGTGAACAGAATAAAAAAAAACCTTCTACTCGAGTAAGTTTCTTCTTGAAAAATTGCCTCCTTTTTTGCTAGCAATGTCCAAATTCGTATAGGAGTGCCTAATATATACAGAGGAAATCAAATCTGGTATATCTTGGAACTAATATTGTCACTAAGTCTGGTACAATTTTTACTAAATTTTTTAATTATCTTTAACAGTGCTCAGATGCCAATCTAAATGCAGTCACAGAATCAGAAATGGATTTACTGGAAAAATTGAAAGGAGTGGAAGAACGTTTTGGAGTTTCAATCTTGAACAGTAAATATTTGGACCACTCAACATTACAGGTAATATTTCCTTTAATTTAATGTATTGGTAATAATTATATTCAATAATACATTTATTTGGCTTAAGGCCATCCATTCCAATACCGATCAAAGTCAGGAAAAACTAGAAGAATTGGAAATAAACGCTAAAGGTTCAACCATGGATAGTAGTGAACAATATGGCATCCCAATAAATTCTGGAAGTTTGACCACAATATATGAAGAATCTGACGGCTCGACATACGAAACCTTGGAGGTAATTGTAATTAGGTACATGTATTATTCAATTGCTATATTTTAAATTAATACATTTTTAGTCCGCAATCAGTATTTCTGGAAACTCCAATGATGCTCCAAATACCACCCAAAGCCAGGTACAAATCAATTTAAAAAATTCAACCAGTGATGAATATGAAAAATCAAGTCATGAAATCTTGGAGGTAATATTTGTATTAACTTTTATTATTGAATAGCTATATTTTAAATCAATACATTTTTAGTCCAAAATGAAAATTTCTAAAAGCTCCACCGATGCTCTAAATAACAAAGAAAGCAAAACAAAAATGGATTTAAGAAATTCAACCACAATTATTAGTGATGAACATGACAACGCAAGCTATGCAACTTTCGAGGTAATAATAAGAATTTGTATTATCAAATAGCTATATTTTGAAATACATTTTTAGTCCGCTGTCACAAATTCTGGAAACATACCCAATGCTCTAAATACCAACCAAACCCAGGTAAAATTCAAAGTTGAAAAAAATTTAGATTCGATCACAATAATTATTAGTGATGGTGGTACCTAGTCTTAAACACATCCCTCCATAAATAGTGAGGTGGCGATGAACACGGGTCATGCACTATTGGCAGAAACATTTTTGTTTAACTTGTAATATTGAATGAGTAGGTAGGGAATATTTTATATATTTTTAGAGCAAGATAACACTTACTAGAAACAACAGCGAGTGGGAGACACAAAGTAGTGAATCCAGTCCCGAAACACTTTGTTTGTATGAGAAATTTGTAGCAGTAACTAGAAAATACATTATCGAACCTCCAAAGGTAAATAAATCATTTCCGGCAGAATTAGATCTAAAAAATATAAAATTCTGCTTTCGATCCTAGATCCAAGATACACTGAGCGTTACCCTGCCGAAGCACTTGGGCAACATGAGGAATAGATTAACTACTACTGACAAATTCGGCCCAACAACACAATTAGTACAAGAACCTAAGGGACTAGTAAGCAGTTCTATAGCTTTTGAAAACTTTATGAAAAAACTAAATGAATTTGATGCTCCATAGAAAAATTCTTCCATCATATCAACCAAGAAATTTTGTGTTTAAATAGAATTCAATGAGTAGAATAATATAAATATATATATATTTTTTTAAATTGAACTAAATTATTGTTTTATTATGGCTTTGGTAGTTTTCATTTCTACTTTATTTAGAATCCAAATTAATATGTGGGCACGGAAAACATCATTTTCAACATCTGCATTAGGTATAGGTCAGTTAACCACACGGGATTGAACTTTCAAAGAACTAATCTTTTGATAATTTTTTGTTTAATGCAGTTGAGTTTGAAAATTCTTGTGATCCAGAATTATAGTTAGCAATAGGTAATTATTATTGAATTTCACAACAGTCTATTTGAAACTGCGTTTTCAATTTTACATTTTCAGAAGCATTAAAGTATAATAATATGTTCAAAAATCACTGAGTAGTGCACCCCGCCTTCCCGAGCCAGTCCTTGACGCGTTTCGTCCTTGTTGCTGAGCTTTCGTTGGCAATGAAAATTGTTAGAACAATTTTTTTTTTCAGGTACCTGAAAAAACTTTCTAACAATTTTCATTGCCAACGAAAGCTCAGACCAATCAGTGTAGTGCAACGCCGGTAGGGGTATTTGCCCTCGGAGTAGTTATTTCTAACTGGTCAACAGTTCAATTTTGCTTGGACCTTCTGATGAGTCCTAACAAGGACGAAACGCGTCAAGAATTGGCACGGGAAGCCTGAGTCCACTGCTCAGTGGGTCGATTCCCAAATAGGGACCGTTGTGTCCCTGAATTCACGTTGGTCATTACCTGAAAAAAAACTTTCTAACAATTTTCACTGCCAACGAAAGCTCAGACTAATCAGCGTAGTTCAACGCCGGTAGGGGTATTTGCCCTTGGAGTAGTTGTTTCGGACTGGTCAACGAAGTTCAGAATGCTAATTGTTTGCTAAAGAGTATTTATATGCCTTGTGGGGAGAATGAAAAACCCCCTTCTACTCGAGGAAGTTTCTTCTTGAAAAATTGCCTCCTTTTTTGCTAGCAATATCCGAATTCGGATAGGAGTGCATAACGTATACAGATCGGATTGAGGAAATCAAATCTGGTATATTTTTAAAATAATATTATCACTAAGTCTGGTACAATTTTCACTAAATTTTTTAATAATCTTTATCAGTGGTCGGATGCCAATCTAAATGCAGTCACACAATCAGAAATGGATTTATTGGAAAAACTGAACGGAGGGAAAGAACGTTTTGGAGTTTCAATCCTGAACAGTAATCATTTGGACCACTCGACATTGCAGGTAACATGTGTGTTGATTGAATGTATTATTATTTATGTTAAATCATACATTTATTTGGCTTAAGGCAATCCTTTCAAATACCGATCAAAGCCAGAAAAACTAGAAGAATTGGAAATAAATGCTAAAAGTTCAACGATGAATAGTGAAGAATATGACATCCCAAGTAGGGTTGCCAGATTTACCAGAGAGAAAAGCGTGGCAACGACCGGTGGGGGGGGGGGGGGGGAATGAATTATTAATTTTTTTATTAGTTCTAGCCCATGCACAAGAAAATTACAAAAAATTTCAACTTTGACGGCTAATATCTCAAAGACAAAAACGGCCTGGCATCTCAATAAAAAACATTTTGTAGGTAATTTCGTCCTCTTTCAAAAGAGATATGACTTGGAACGGTCGGTTGAGAAATAGCGGAGCTATAAGCGAAAAAGTGGCCTCGTGTCGGGTACCCACAATTTTTTTCTGATCAAAATCGAAATTTCCGTTTTTATTTTTTTTCGGCCTTAAGATGTGCCGTAGCGAGGAGGGTCAAATTAACTTTTCGTCGTATTTTTTGCTCCTCTATCCAATAGATTTTTTTTTTTTTTGAAATTCAAAATTTGTATTTTTTCGACAAAAAAATTCAAAGGAGATAGAGCCTTCGATTTTTTTTTTAATATTCAAAGCGTCCTAACTCGAAAACGAAAAGCTCGGGAGAAAAACTTCAAATGCAAAACTTATAGATCTCGTTGAGTTCTACAAAAAAACCTATAAGAAGTATCCCTCCACGAGGCACCCTTTTCGAGAAAATCGACCTCGAAAATTTTAACAAAATTACAAAAAATTTCAATTTTACCGGCTAATATCTCAAAGACAAAAACGACCTGGCATCTCAATAAAAAACATTTTGTAGGTAATTTCATCCTCTTTCAAAAGAGATATGACTTGGAACGGTCGGTTGAGAAATAGCGGAACTATAAGCGAAAAAGTGGCCTCGTGTCGGGTACCCACAATTTTTTTCTGATCAAAATCGAAATTTCCTTTTTTATTTTTTTTCGGCCTTAAGATGTGCCGTAGCGAGGAGGGTCAAATTAACTTTTCGTCGTATTTTTTGCCCCTCTATCCAATAGAATTTTTTTTTTTTTTAAAATTCAAAATTTGTATTTTTTCGACAAAAAAATTCAAAGGGGATAGAGCCTTCGATTTTTTTTTTAATTTTCAAAGCATCCTAACTCGAAAACGAAAAGCTCGGGAGAAAAACTTCAAATGCAAAACTTATAGATCTCGTTGAGTTCTACAAAAAAGCCTATAAGAAGTATCCCTCCACGAGGCACCCTTTTCGAGAAAATCGACCTCGAAAATTTTAACAAAATTAGAAAAAATTTCAACTTTAACGGCTAATATCTCAATGACAAAAACGACCTGGCATCTCAATAAAAAACATTTTGTAGGTAATTTCATCCTCTTTCAAAAGAGATATGACTTGGAACGGTCGGTTGAGAAATAGCGGAACTATAAGCGAAAAAGTGGCCTCGTGTCGGGTACCCACAATTTTTTTCTGATCAAAATCGAAATTTCCTTTTTTATTTTTTTTCGGCCTTAAGATGTGCCGTAGCGAGGAGGGTCAAATTAACTTTTCGTCGTATTTTTTGCCCCTCTATCCAATAGAATTTTTTTTTTTTTTGAAATTCAAAATTTGTATTTTTTCGACAAAAAAATTCAAAGGGGATAGAGCCTTCGATTTTTTTTTTAATTTTCAAAGCATCCTAACTCGAAAACGAAAAGCTCGGGAGAAAAACTTCAAATGCAAAACTTATAGATCTCGTTAAGTTCTACAAAAAAGCCTATAAGAAGTATCCCTCCACGAGGCACCCTTTTCGAGAAAATCGACCTCGAAAATTTTAACAAAATTACAAAAAATTTCAACTTTAACGGCTAATATCTCAATGACAAAAACGACCTGGCATCTCAATAAAAAACATTTTGTAGGTAATTTCATCCTCTTTCAAAAGAAATATGATTCGAAACGATCGGTTGAGAAATAGCGTAGCTATAAGCGAAAAAGTAACGTCGTGTCGGATTGCCGAAATTTTTATCTGGTCAAAATCGAACGAAATATCCTTTTTTAATTTTTTCCCGGCCTAAAGATGCGTCATAGCAAGCAGGGACCCATAAGCTTTTCAACGTTTTTTTTGCTCCTCTATCCGATGGTATATATATAAGAAAGATGGGGAGGCTTACTTTTTTCCGGTACATCGGAGAGAACTGAAACTCGGAATATCGACTCTTTTAGACCTCTTCGGGCTAATGAAGGAGCTTCATGGTGCATGGGACTCTTTATGTGTTGAAATACATGGATTTAAAATAACTAAAAATGGCGATATCTCAAAAAACGGCAAACAACGTTTCATTAGGGTAAATATGGTCAAACAGCTTCCAAATAACCCCAGCTATCACTCATTGAAATATTCCTATTGATGTACCAAATACCCTGTATGTCAAGGTCTGAGGCAAGTCTATTTTAAACTAATAAATAATTTATTTAGGAAGCGTTTACATGAAATTATGAGAAAGCGTGTCACGCGCATACTCAGGCGTGATGTGTGACAACCATTCAAAAATCGTGACAATCACGCTTAATACGTGAGGCCTGGCAACCCTAATCCCAAGAAGGGAAATATTGGAGGTATTATTTCTCCTAATTTGTATCATTTCATATTTCAAATAATAAATTCTTACTACCCCAATATCACTCTTTCTGGTGACCAGAGAAAACTCAACGAATGGGAAATAAATGCTGGAAATTTAACCACAATTTATGAAGAATCTGACGGCTCAAGTCGTGAAACCTTGGAGAAAATTGTATTTATTTGTATTATTGAATAGCTTTATTGTAAATTATTACATTTTTAGTCCGCAATCAGCATTTCTAGAAACTCTAATGATGCTCTAAATACCATCCAAAGCCAGGTACAAATCAATTTCAACAATTCAACCGCAATTATCAGTGATGAATAATATATGAAAACTCAAGTGACACCTTGGAGGTGATATTCATATTAACTTTTATTATCGAATAGCTATTTTTTAAATTGCTACTTTTTCAGTCCGCACACACAATTTCTGAAAACTCCACTGATAGTCCAAATACCACCCAAAGCCAGGTAAAAATCGATTCCAACAGTTCAACCACATCTATTATTGATGCAGATGAACAATTAAGTTATGAAATCTTTGAGGTAATATTTGAATTAACTTCTATTACCGAATAGCTATATTTTAAAAAATCAGAATTTCTGAAAACTCCAGATGCTCTAAATAACACACAACGCAAGATAAAAATGGATTTAAAAAATTCAACCACAATTATCAGTGATGAATATGACAACGCAAGTTTTGAATCCTTCGAGGTAATAATAAGTATTTCTATTAACTTGTATTATCAAATAACCATATTTTGAAATACATTTTTAGTCCACTGTCACAAGTTCTGGAAACTTACACAGGTTAAATTCAAAGAGTTTGAAGCAAATTTGAGAAATTCAACCACAATTATTAGTGATGGTGATGAAAATAACAATTCAAGTTATGAAACCTTAGAGGTAATAATATTTGTATGCACTTATATGATGGAATAGCAATAATTTGAAGAAATACATTTTCAGTCCGCAATCACCTCTTCTGGAAACTCCACAGATGACCTAATGCCACCCAACTCCAGGTAAAATTTAAAGAATTTGAAACAAATTTAAAAAATCCTACTAAATAGCTACCTAGTTTCAAAAAAAAACACCATATTTAGTGAGATGTCCATGATAACATAATGAGTTATGCAACATTGGCGGAGATAGTTTTTTTTTTTAAGTTTCAATACTAAATGAGTAGGTTGATAAATAATCGAGTGAATAATGTACATATTTTTAGTCTCGGTCTAGTTTATTAAGAATTCAAATTAATATGCGGGTACGAAAAACACCATTGTTAAGATCGACATTATATGCCAGTTAACCAGGGGGTTTACTTCAACCTTTGAAAAACTAATTAATTTGTTGATAAAATTGTTCCAATGTAGTTGAGTTTGAAAATTGTGGTGGTCGAGAAGTAGGTAATTATCATAGAAATAGTATAAATTTGCATAATCGAGCAAAACTAGATGATAGAATGCAATATTCTAACGTTGTGTTAAAATTACATATTATACAGTCTTAAATCGGACATGTATATTTTCAGAATGTACCGATGTCTATAAAAGACTCTAGCTGCCAATTCTGACGGAATACCATATTCTTAGCTATTTAGAAGCAAAATCTCCTAAATCATTTAGGTATGTACTTGTACCTACCTATATGTGAATTATTTAAATACTTGAAACTGAAAATAAGCAAAATTATAGGTGCGGAACCAAACGGATTTATTTTTCAGAATACAAAACTACCAAATCGCTTGAACATTCTACATAGATTTTTAACAAACCATATTAGGAGAACGGTGATGGCACAGAAATCGGTAGGTATGGAACAGACTTTGATGGAACCTTATCCTTTTCAGTTTGCCTCTCGGCTAAATACATCAGCTTAACATTTTATCTGTAAATTAAATATTTAGAGAAGGGATAACATTAAAAATAAGTTAAGTAATTTGATTGACCAACTATCTATATAATATATATTCAATGATTTTTATTGAATAGCGACATATAAATTACTATTTTGTACAATCTATTTCATGTGTCTGTAATAATAAATTAACACCAAGTCCCTTGTTCTAGCCCATTGTCCATAGTTTTTCTATAACAATTCCACATCATTTGCTCTTCTCCATTTTTTTCGGCCACATGCACTTGCGTATGGCCTTTATAATTCCTCTTTCTCGATTCGCCTTTGCCATTTATATCTGAACTATTTTCCATGGATTGGAGGCTATGGGTTTTATGCAGTGATAGCCGCAAAGGCTTTTTTGGTGGGGTCGGTCTTGGTTTTGTATTGTGCTCGTAATAGTTTTGATGGTGATATTTTCTGCTACTGTCAGCCTCACTATTATAATCAGTGCTCTTATAACCATTTCTTGTCGATGTAGAATTGCAGTCACTATCAAAATCCAAAGACTTGACACTCCTGGAAGTTTGAATTTTTTTGAGTATTTTACTCATTGCTTTTGAAGGACTTTCCGGAACATCCAACTCTTCTACACTGCGCGAATCGCAAAATTTCGGCCCAATATGAACTTCTGATCTAAAATCTAACACAGAAGTTGATTTTCGGGCATTATAATGCTTTAAAATGTCAGCATTATATTTCTCAGAAGCTGTAATGCATCTTTGTCGATGTTTTTCATACAAAGTAGCATCTTTGCGGGTGAGTTCTTGGATAATTTTTGTAGCTTTTTTATAGCTTTGATCTACTAGATCAGCATTATTGCCATTATTGGGGCTAGCTTTTGAAACATCTGCTGAATGTCTGTGTTCATTGTTTTTACTTCTTGGCCGTTGTTGGTGATTATGGTGGTCACCGTTTGAATTTGCTTCAGAGTTATAGTCTTTTTCCCTATTATGTTTCCGATACGTAACTTTATCAGCATAATCAATGCCATTTCTTGGCGACTTATGCCTGTGATGTTTGTGACTGTGGTAATCTGGCTGTGGACTTGGAGCTATAATGTGAGTATTTGAAACATTTGACAAACTGCTTTTGGACCTTATAGTAATGCTTTCTTTTTCCGGAACGTTGGCAATTAGGGCGGTTAGTTGAGGTCCTTTTTGAAACACTTGGATTTCCCCAGAGTGGCTCGAGTGAGTGGAAGCTGGAGAGTTTTGGGAAGTTATGTTAATGTTGGTGACATTTTGGTTTGACTTTGAGATCACTGGAGGTGGCGACATAATCCGATTATTATTATCTATTTCTGTTTTTCTGTTAAGAAGTTCGGAAACCTGGAAAACAAAAAATTTTATAAATGTCTTGAAAAAATGTAAGGTAAAAGTACCAAATTCTGACACTGACACAGTAAGAGTACCCACTTGCATTAAAACCTTCTTTTTTTTTTCAATTTCGAGCTTAGAGTTTTTTACTAATGGATATGCTTAAGAATCTTAGATAATGCATGGAATTTTCATGAATAATACTCAACCTTTTTCTTAATAGTTTCTAATCTGACATGTACCTACATTTCGGGAATGTACCGAAATCTGGAAGGTTCTAATTCCCAATTCTGACATAGTACCGTATTCTCACATATGTATTTAGGATCAAAATATGTCAAATCGTTACATATTTGAATAGAAATAACTAGGTACTAAATTATTTAACTGCCTAAAATATAGAAAATATGGAAAAATATAGGTGAAACAAAATTTTATTTCTAAAATACAGAACTTGTATTAAATGCAATGGAAATCAATATCAGACATTAAACAGTCCTGTTCAAAGGTTGCTTTAGAATTTGCTTAAAATGCATATGGAACAAAATTTAAGTTTTTCGAACATTAAATTAAACAACAAAACCTTCCAATCTCTAGATAATGTTTGTCAGATTTTTTCTATTCCACGAGAAAACCAGAAAAGCTATCGACACAAAATTGTAGATCTCTATTGGAGCTTCAAAAAAGGTTATTTGAGGCACCGAGCCTTAGGGCTTTGTTTCTGAGATAATCAGCTTTGAAGCTTTTCCAAAGTTTGAGACAAAGTTTCAACTTTGAGGCTGAATATCTCGAAAACTATTTTAGGTAAATTATCCAATTTTATTTTTTCTTGAAAAGCGTTTGATTCTGATTAAGAATATATCGATATTCATTAGAATTTGTAGAATATTAATTGAGTTATGAGCGATTTTGTGAAGCAATTTCTGATGATCAACATTTTTCAAAGCAAAAAATGCAAAAATCATTTGTAATTTTCACAGGCCCTAAAACCTCAGAAAGAAAAACCACGAAAATGCTTTTCCAATAAATTTGACCTTCTCTTTTGATTAGTGAAGTCAAAAATTTGAAAAATTAAGAAAAATCAAATTTGAACTTTTTCTAAGTGCAATGCAAGGAAATTTCATTTCCAAATATTTCAAAGGGCCATATTTTGGCAACCAGAAGAGCTAACGGCACAATATTTTGTCTAATTTTAGATCTTGATTGGGGCTTTAAAAAAGGTTATTTGGAGCACTGAGCCCTAGAGCTTCGTTTTCGAGATAATCGGCTTTGAATGTTTCCCAAAATTTGAGATAAAGTTTCAACTTTGAGGCTCAATATCTTGTAAACTGTTTCAGATAAACTATTCAGTATTTGTTTTATCTCGGAGAGCGTTTATTTCTGATTAAGAATATTAAGATATGAATCAGAAATTGTACAATATAAACTTAATTATGAGTGATTTTGTGAAGCAATGTCGGATGATCAAAATTTTTCAGGGCAAAAAACGCAAAAATCATTTTTAATTTTTCACAGGCCTTAAAACCTCAAAAAGAAAAATCACGAAAATGCCTTTTGACTTAATTGGAAAGTTCAACTGACTGTATATTGGATTTGCAAGATAACTTTAATAAATTGTCATTAAAATAATCCCTAAGAGTAGGTAGGTAAATTGAATTTAACTACATATTCTTTGGGCGGGTATGAAATCAAGGATATTGGATTATAAATGGTTGCTCATATATTTTGCGAAGTGTTCTTATTCTAATACTAAGAAAACTGTCAGAATAGAGAGCACTGTCAGAATATGGTACATTTCTTTCATTGAGAAATTTATTACCTGTTCTTCCAAATATGATATTCTATGCGTCAGTCTAATATTATCACTTATCAAGCCTTCCTTAACCCTTTGCGCTTCCCCGGCTCGTTCTTTTACTGTTTCAAGCTCACATCGAAGAAATGCTACTTCCTGAACATCGGGCCCACAGCTTGATACTGGACCTCGACCATTTCCGGTTAATTTTCTTAAGATTACTAACTGAGCTGGATCTGGGGCAGCAGCTAGCAACCTGGTGAGATCTTCTCTGGTTTTAGTTAGAACTATTTTGCCGTTTACTTCAATCAGTCTGGAAAAAATTGACTTTTCAAAATGGTGAAATGTTGGACAAATACAAAATCTAGATGTAAATGTACGATAAAAAACAATAGGAAAAATAATTCACACGTTCACAACGAAAATGTTGACTGGCCTTATGTAAAATAATTTTTTGGTCATTAAGAAACAATTAGTACCTACTTAATTGTAAAGGTAAAACTACTGCATTCACTTCTATTGTTTTTCAAATAAAATTATTGCCGCGTTTAGGCAGGTGCAAACAATAAACGAGTAAAATTCTGGCGATGTAAATCACTTGTGGGAATTCTGTATTATAACACAAATGCAATTACTAAGTAGGTACTAGTAATATTTTATTTAATTTATTTTCCGACAGGGGAATGGGAATTAAACAAGAATACTAGTTTTTAAAAAATAAATAAATTCCTTACCTATCTCCTTTAGCTAAACCAGTTTCTTCCAAAGCCCAATCTATCCACAAGCCTGGAACATTATCTTTTTGGCTAGCTCCAAATTTGGGACTTTTTGTATCATATTCCACATTTATTGCTTGTAATATTACATACTCAGAACCATATATACAACTGAAAGATGATTATTAAAATCGTCTATATAATTTCCAGTTACTTTTGCTTACCTGTACAAAGTGTTATTTTCAGATGAAGATTTATTAGATTCTTCGATGCAAAGTTGAAGAGTCCTTGTTTCTTCTAGAAGGGTTAGTAAGTTGAGCTCTTCTCGTCCCAGTTGGTATTCCAATTCGGCTTGTTGAATACGTACATCAATGTTGCTAGAGGAAGTAACAAAATATTTTAATACTTATAGGCATTAGAAATATCCGAATTCAAGAATTTTCACATCGGTAAAGTATAAATTAGAATTTCTAGCATGTAAGTGTCGATTTAATTAGATTATATCTTAGGCCGGGGTTACCCAATTCCTTCTCAATTTTTGTTCCTAATTCTAAATCTTTGAAAACACCAATATCAAACAAATTGAACTTTTTAAGAATTAGGAGTTAGAAACAAATATTAAGAATTAAGGAACTGGGCAACTCCGGCCTTATTCTCAAAAACTGGAAACAATTTAAACTTTCATAAGTCATACAAAAATTTAAAAACTAAGGTATTATGAAATTTTGCTCCCTACAAGTACGGCAACGTTGTTCAAAGAACAAAAAAAGAGTGACAAAATGGAAAACAAAACACAGATCCTAGGTGGGTACTGTTACAATAACGCTAAACGCTGTTGCTAGAATAGGCGTCCGCCAGGCTGTCAAGAATTTGATGTCGAATATCCTGGAATCTAGCGAATTATTCTACTATAATCAAGAAATAGGATTATCGTGTGTGTTCTATATTTTACAGGAATAGATTTAGGGATATATAAAAGGCCGCTCTTGCTTTGTAAGTTTAAGTTAAAGTTTGACTGTGATACAAGTTAAATAGTGATTGTTGAGTTTGTAAAGAGTTTGACTGTTGAGTTAGTTATTAAAGTAATTAGTGTCAGAGTGTATTGTTACGTGGAATAAATTATTGCTGCGTTAATTGGACTTTGATTTTTGGAATAAACGAACCGAACCCAAAATTTCTGTCAGACGACCCAAGGCTGTGACAGTACCATTTATTCCGTAAGTGTAGGTACTCGAGAACAGGAGCGGTTCCGGATTCCAATGATTTGTTTGTTTTTTATTAGTTATTGTATAGGTAATGAAAAATGTTTCGTCAACAAAATATGTAAGTTTTTTTTTTTTTATTGAATCGGCTGTTACAAGGTGGAAATTCATTATCTAGTAAAATATTTTTTTAAAGTAAATTAATATACTTATTTATTTCCACTAATTTTTGTTAAACTTTAACATGTTTCGCTACACTGTAGCATCATCAGAAAGATGTAGACATAAAAGTTTATATATACTTTTATGTCTACATCTTTCTGATGAAGCTACAGTGTAGCGAAATATGTTAAAGTTTAACAAAAATTAGTGGAAATAAATAAGTATATTATGTTTGTGCCTATGCATCCCATTTTTATATTCTAATAATAATTACAGCAATCTGGATATTATAGGTAATTTAGAAATTAACTAGAAACAAGATTATCGTTTTTTCACAACTTATATGTATACATAGGATATACAAGTAACAATTTAGCAAACTTACTCTGTAATATCAAGCCGTTCCAGAGCCATTTTAAGATTTTTAATAGCCAGTCTTTTATTGTCAATATCAGTCTTCAGCCGTCCCAACCTATCTTCTGCTTGTTTCTTTTCCACCTCCGTTAATTCCCTACTGTTATTATTAGTTGTACCATTATGATTGTTATTATTATTATTATTACCTGGAAAAAAACAATTATTGATAGCTATATCGAATCGCTTAAGTAAGATCCTCACCATTCAATATAGAGTTTAACCTCAGGCCTGGTACGGTAAGTTGCCCTCTAAGACTTTGAATAATATTTTCCTTATCCCTTAGAGCATTACGAAGATTCTCTAATTCTTTTGCAGCAAGTTCTTTGGGGATGGATCGGATTGAAGAATTCAAAATTCCAGTGCTTAGCTTTTTTCTTCTTGGGGTATTGGAGAGGGATACTTCGATACTCGCCATCTGACCAAAATAGACTTGATTATTATTGGTGCGGATTATCTATAAAAATATGACTAAAGACGCAAAATTTCCACTTGACATCCAGTTTGGCAGTTTGTGGGTCATCCAGAAATCATCATTATTGAACAGGCTTGACTTAGAATTAATTGAATATTAAATGATGCCCAGAGGTTTAGGAAAAATCCCTGTTAGATTATTTTACCATAAATTACTGAGCGACTCTTGTAAAAAAAAATTTAAAAATCAATAATTACATTATGCATGGAAATAGTTTGAATATGTACTTAATATAGAGTATTTATATATTACATAAAATTTGCACTTGGGGAACTGTTTATTATGTGAAATGAAGATGTCGAATGTCTATATTTATCTGATAATCAAGATTATCCGGTGAGCATGCATGTATTTGGTTGAGAAATTTTTTGTAATAATCTTTTAAATAGTCGCTATAAATTATAGGATCACTTTCTATGGTGTTGCAAGCAGCCACAGATTATGCCGCACAAAGATTGGTCTGTTTATTATTTTTATATTTAAAGATAAAATTATTTTTATCCAATATTTAGTAAAATAAGTTGTTGCAAAATCGATCCTTGAGTATAGTAGCAGTGGCCGCCATAGATATTCGAAATTCCTACAAAAAATTATTTCTCCCTGGGCGATGCCCCGGGATAAAGCAAAAACTCTACAAATGAGGGTTGAGAATCAATTTAGTCCAAGAGGATCAATTGAATTCATTTTATGTATAGTATTGTTTCGTTGCGCTTTCGCCAGCGTATACAGAATCCATGCCTAAAATTCCAGAAATGACTGCCGTATTCGGGAAATAGTGGAGTAAAATCACAATGAAATTATGACTTTGAGTGATTCCGAGGTATAACCAGATGAAACCTATATCATCTTGTAGAGGACACTCTGGAGCATAGGAAATGGGAATGTACAACTTTTTTTAGTAGGACTGAACTTTGAAATCGGCCCTTAAACGTGACTGAGCTCGAATTTGAAAAACTACGTTTTTCTAAACATTACCCGCTGTATTAATTTAAGCATACAATCTAAAATTCTGATTTTTTGCACACTTATCCTTGAAACATGAGCGCTTCTAATGACAGTTCAGAAATTTCGGAAAGGTTTAGGGTTTTTTTGTTAAAAAGTTAGGAATATAGAATTATCAAAATCGTGCATCTAAAACTTCGCCCTGCGGCGAGCAATGTGAATTATTGAAAATTTCTATACATATATATATCGAATTAAATGTAGTAAAAACATTGACGAAGTTTTTGAAAAAAAAAAATTAAGTCGCTAACTTTAACGGTTATAGAAATATGAATTTTTATCCGGGAGCTTTGAAATGCGCTCTGATGCTGAAAGCGGCTAGCGGTTACCATTATGGAAATCATCTGCGTTAGTTATCTATACACATAAAGTAATTGATTGAACCGTTTTTTATGAAGTTAGTTTAAATATTTTCTCCTTCGTCATCCACATATAAATCAGGTAATCAGGAACATTATTTTGACAACTTTTGCAGGAGCAATGGCTGCAGCATGTTAAACCCTCTTTCAAGCAGACACATTTCTTATTTTAACATAATTTATCTTCGCAGAAAACATTCATTAGTTGCCTTATATCCATTGGTATGGGATCAGCAGTCATCAAAACAGGCTCAAAAATTCCATTATTCCTAGTCCAACCAAAGTTAACATGGTCAAGTATAGGCATAATAGGTATATGACTGGATATCCATATACGCAGTTGATATATGCACCTGAAATTTTGTTTATCGCACAAATACAGCTTCTTTTGTTACATATACACCTAGCTCAGTACATGCTGGTAAAATGCATCATCTGTGGGTAGAAGTTCAGAAGCGGATTTATTGGAAGTTGTGGTCAATTGATATCTCAATTCATCGAGGGTTTTTAGGGCCTCGTTCTTATTTCTGAATAGGGCCAATGCAAATTTGGTGGCAATATAAGGTTCCAAGATTTTTAGAAAATACATTTTTTGCCTCTGCATTTGTGGTATCGCATCCTGTTGACACATGCAACGCTGGTAAACATTTATAAACTTCATTTCCCAGTTTCTGCACTATTTATTGGAATTATCCGTTTTTTATTCCCTTGTCCTGATTCCATAAAAAGGTAGGTTTCTTTCAAAGAACTTACTTCAATAAATTCAGAATAGTGGTAAATAAGTAATACCAGAACATTTGCATCTGCAGACTTCACCAACACTTTTTTTTGGTGAAGTATCTGATATTCATATAAGACGTGGATTATAAGTCGTGCATCAGTCTCATCATGATTCGATTTCAAATCTTTCAATTCGGTTACACGGTTACACCATCCTTGTTGACAGAAAAGCATAACTCTGGGTTTTCAAAACCACCAGAGATGATCAGAATTTCTTCTATTTGTCAGCTAAATGTTCCAAAATATAACCAGTTACAAATTTCAATAGGGATTCTTCATTTTCTGACAATTTTAAAAAATTCCGAAACTTCATCACTTTTCTCTTTCCAGAAACTTCATACGCATACGTATCTGCGAAGTTACTTCTTCTGCGTTTTTCCAAAGACTTGACCGATTCATCTATTAAAAACCACCGTTATCCTCAGTGCTTCATACCTTCGACCAAGTGAAAGAATTTGCTTCAGAAAAATACATGCGAGTTCATTAAAAGTTAAGTTGAAAATGCTTTATCATTTAGTCCTTGAATAAGTACCATACCATCTATTATAAGTGAATTGAAGGGGGGACCCAAAAATGAAGTTTTAGTGCGAAAAAATCTGAGAACAAATATTTGAACCGCATCTTGCTACGATGAACCGTTTTCGAGTATAAGTGCGGTGTCACACTATGCGTTTTTAACGCTGCGGCAAGAAAGGATGCATTTTGATCGGATGAACTCTACTTGTCACACTGATCCCATCGGGATCCGTTTTAACGGGATGTTCTGTAGTGGTAGATTCATGGCGAATTTATTAAAGATTATTTTAAATAACCTTTCTCATCTTTCTCTGTTGAGTCAAGCTCCATCCAATTCTCTCATAGTTTCTCCAAATTCCACCCAGGCTTTCTCTCTACAGTTTTTATCTGAGTATTCTTTCGACCTTTTCTCCCATAATACTTACCGTAGACGCACTCATAGGATAGATCTACGTTAAACATGATGAAATGTAATGAAAAAACAAACCACGAACTCTGAAGAACCGCTGCGTTCGAACCGTCAGGTGTGACTACAAACATACAATTGCACGTGTTTTCGTTCTATTGCGGTCGTCCGGTCGTGCGGTGCCGCCGCAGCATGATGCGGTTGCAGAACTAATAATTGAAGAACTTCTGCGCAAAATGTTGGAACTTCAAAGGACCAAACGACAACAAGAAAAACAAAACGAAGAGGCTAGGCGACAAAAAAACAAGAAGAAGAAGCTAAACGACAAAAAGAAAAACAAGAAGAAGAAGCTAAATGGCAAAAAGAAAAACAAGAAGAAGAAGCTAGACGACAACAAGAAGAGACTAAGCGACAAAAAGAAAAACTAGAAGAAGAAGCTAGATGACAAGGAGAGGTCAAACGACAACAAGAAAGGTAAGAAGACATTGGACATTTGTGAAAAATACCTATTTCAAATCATACAAGTATCTGTCGCTAATTCAGAACAGAAGATTAAAGAAGTAAAACCCGAAGTTAAGGACGATGTTCAAGAAGTTAAAAACGATGTTAAAGAAGTTAAAGACAATGTTCAAGAAGTTAAAGACGATGTTCGAGAAGTTAAAAACGACGTTCAGGAAATGAAAGCTGAGGTCAAACCCGATGTTCAGCGATTAAGACATAAAGTTGAGGACCAAGTTCAAACACTTGAAGACAAGGTGCATAAATTCGAAATACTGTACATCAATCCAGCTAGTGTTGGAGCATTCTCTAGTATGAAGATAAGATCACCAACTTTTGACTGTTCTTCATCTTGGACCATGTATTGTATATCCGACAATTTGAAGCTGCTGCAAACACCAACGGATGGCACGATCAAGAAAAAGCTACTACATCACTGATAGTGGTGCTACAGGGACCTGCCTTAGACCTTCTTCAGTCCATTCCTTCAATCTACCAACAGAATTACCAGCATCTAAGTCAGACGTTAAAATTGCGCTTCGGAGACCATTACAGACAAGAAGTATTTAGAACTCAAGTTAAATCAAGAATTCAAAAACCCAGAGTTTACAAGAATTCGAGTGGGAAGTCTAATGAGTTTGACGTTTCCTGCAGCTGGGGAAGACATGCAGAAATGGATGGCAGTATCTGCGTTCATTGATGGTTTCAGAGATTCCAAGATCCAGGAAAACCTGAGAATGTGAGCATTGGAACTGGAAGCAATCTTTGGTGCCTCGCGACCCAGAATACAAGCAGTGTCCATTGAAGACCCAAAAGATAAATAATTGGCAAAAGAGGATGGTAGTTTCGAGAATGTTATGAGTAATTTCATGGAGGAAATGAAAAAACTACCACTAGAAGGTAGAAAAACGGGAAACGATTCCAGACAAACACCAACACCGAGAAACCGAGTAGAATGTTACCGGTGCCATAAGCTTGGACATATTCAACGAGACTGTAGAGTAGGATATGTCCTCTCCACCTAGGAATCGTTTCCAACGCTTTTCGAGTTCTAGAGACGCCAGCCCTAATAAACAGACAGGGAAACGAGAACTAACCAGTAAGGAGGGACGAATGTTGGTTAGTAATGACGATGCCCCCAGGGTTGTTTACATAAAATCATTGGGCAGTTATTATAGAGGATTAAAATTCGAAGGACAAATTAATGGAGAATTTAAGACCATTACGGGTCCTGAAGTTTCTATATGATTGAAAGAACTTATAAGTCAAGTCTCGGGCAATCCAACCGCTCACTGGAAACCTGTCACTACGAACAGTCATGGGCGAATCAGCACCAGTTCAAGGAGAAGCTATGATTGAGCTTTTTAAAAGTGATTATGCAGGTTTTGTATAGACCCTTTAGATCCGAGGTCCGGAAACAGGTATATCAGCAGTGTTCCAAAGCCAGCTAAGAAGCAAAGTGCATTATGCAAGTCCCATCAAACATGCTGCAGGAATTTAGCAGTGACATCGAAAGGATGGTCCGATTATCAGATCCAGAAGCACCCGAAGATTTCATTGAACAAATTAATATTTAGCAGGTACTTCATCGATGGAGTAAAGGATTAGTCTTTCAACAACCGCTGATTCTAAGCCTTATCCATACATTAGAGTATGTAACTTCCAAAAATACCGTTTTAAATAGAAGCAATATTAGAGATACATCTGAGGAACCACCGAACAAAAAGCAAACATGTCTCAAAAATTCGACGGGATGTTTCAGAAATGATGCGTGAAGGCAGATTTAAAATAAAGAAATCAGCCTCATCTGCGGCCAACAACTACATATCAGTAGAAACACTGGACGATGTTGGGATGGAAAATAACATTTCTAAAGAACTCTAATTTAAAAAAATCACAGTTGATAATACTTCATTCCTATCCGAAACCATAAACACTTTACGATCACCTATACTCATAAACAAGCCATGTTAAATTTATATTCAGGTTCACCTGCAAAAATACCAATTTCCAGTCTATGGTATCTTAAAAATTAAAATGCTGTTAAAACCGGACGGTTTGTGTTGTGGTTGTATTGGCACCACTATGTTCCTGTGTGCGTAATTTATTGGACCAGTCTTGGGTGCAACTTCTGCCAGGCTTAGTCGGGTGTAAAAAGTTCTATTAAACCAAGTGGTGTTTTTTTTTTTATAACATAATTTAAAGCTTGTTTAAGTTTTATAATCAATGAGGCGAAACAAATTTATATTTAGTAAGTCAACATCGATTAATTGAGAATCGAATGGATTTAAGCATAAAATTACTCTCCAGTTTATATTGTGCTCAAGTTTTCTTCCTCGGCAAGTGTCACGGAGTTGATTGCAAGGTGTATAGAAGATTACTTTAGAATAGAGGGGTTCATTTAACAGGAAGAAAAGATTTACAAAACAAAAAGTTCCTACCTATTTAACAATAGATACCAATAATGATGAGTCATAACTTATAATCATTAGAATAGATTTGGCCTTTGGTTCATATATAGGACTTTGTTGCTAATGTTGGACTGGATAGAAGAATAATTTTTGTCTTAATTAATTTGGTTTTCTACCATATATAAGTTTTAGTGAACTTCATTACTTCCTTTGGTTTCATGTTCATAATAATATATTAAAAGCCCGAAGTCTTATCTCTTTGATTCAGTGTGAATATTCGATTTATAATGGTTAAAAAAATTTAATGCAGGCTCAATTTTAAAGCTTCCCACCCCTATTATCTCAGAAAAGGGATATTTTGGAAAAAGACATTTTGATTTAAGTTTAAAGTTGATAACTATTGTGATTATAGAAAATCATATATTACTCAAAAAGGAACACTTTTTTCAAGATGAAGGTGAAGACAGCAAATACTTCAAACTGAAGGCCGAAAGACCTTTGAAATGGTGTGGTTCTAGAAACTAGGAGGTGGCTCTAGAAACTCTTCTAACTTCAAATTATATAGTTGACGTGTTTCGGGCATTTTCTCCAAAATAGTCCGTTTCTGAGATGATTAGGGGTAGGAAGTTTTCAAATGGTCACCCTGTATAGAATTTGCATACAAATCGACCGCCCTCTTGCATCATAATTCAGCTTTCAGGGTTTCCGAGATTAAAATCATACTTATTCAGGCTACCTGTATTAAGTATTGGGTTAATTTTGGTGCATAAACATAAGTTAAAATATTTTCTTTCAAAATTTTGATATCTTCCTATTCACTTGTCTAAAGCAATAAATAAAACTATTTTGATTTCCCCTTTGATCGTTTGATCCAAACCCATCATGTTTTTATTATTCAATCCCCACTAGCACAAAGGATTTCAACCCTTTCACTTGGAATTAAACCAAAAAAAGAAAAAAAGGTTTGTGTTACTTTTCAGGGTGACAAATGGGGTGAATAAATTTAAACGCTGGGTAACCAGTTTTTAATTATGATGTAATTCAATATGGGATTATTTATTATAATCCCGGATTAGTTGAATTGAATGATTTTCGTTAAAGGGCAATGACCCTAAGCCTAAATGGTTCTGAAAAGTTAATACTATACTAGTACTATACTATAGAAAAAGTGTACATACTTTTGCCTCGAGTGTTTCCAGTTGAGCCATTCTGGGTTGAATAACAGTTGGTTGCAGAGCGGTCTAAAATATAAATAGCATAATTTATTACCAATGAATCAATCACTTAAAACCATATTGTGTAATTATGCTAACTTTCGATGACATTTTATGCACCTGTCGTGGGTAGGTGCTGTAAAATGCTATTTTCGTTTATCGTGAATAGATTGGCTTTCACTGAAGAGCTATTGGTTTTTGAGAAATTCTTTATATAATGTAGAATCGAGCATTAGCATTTTTTAGTAACAGAGTTAATAGAGTTATCGTGAAATATGTATAGAGACAAACCTCAAGCTAGAGGCAAAGAGATAGAAAAAAATATGTTTTGATAAATTACTTTATTATACAGTGCGTGTAATTTATGGACAATGTTTGTAATAGATCATGAATCTTGCCGAGAAGAAATTATAGTTTGATTTAACGGCAAAAACTGCAACAAAAAAATCAATGTAAAAGAAGCTTTTTATGCAATAAGTTACTAATTTAGAATAATTTTCAAATATTGTATACCAAATAAAAAATGAGAAAATTTACCACACAGATTCCACGAATATAATAAACTCTCATAGAGCGATGCCATAATGATTAATGATACATCATCTGTAGCATGATTTTCTCTAAGGAAATTATATACTATTAGCCATTGAAACGTTTCCTGGTATCTTAATAACCTTAATTTGAAAAACGAACGCACCATTAAACAAACAAACCCGTATGGGTTATCATTAGTTGATGTATGGGAAACCTCCATCATCGTATTGCCTCTTTCAAATTATTTGAGGCCTGTTGAAATTGTTTGAATTATTTTTATCAGTATCAAACCATGAATTTTATTTCTCTAGAGACATCAATATCCCAAAACCTTCTCGAAATTGTCATGGCTGGTCAGGAAAATTCTCAGGACAAGCCATTAGAATATACCTGCTACCCAGAAAAATATAAAAATATCTGATGCTAATCTAAAGATTAGCTTTGATGATAGTTTCTCCCAGGTTTTTGGGTATATTTTAAGTGTCAAGCTATAGCTGATGAATCTAAGAATGTGGAAATATACAGGGTACCTATATTATGTAGGTAATGCATAGATACGAAGTTGATGCAACGCTGAGTCTCCCTGTATACTATTATTTATATAGAAAAACAGGAATAATGGAGCCAAGCTATTTCTGACTAATTGCGTATCTCCCAGTTAGGTTTTTCTCAAAATCTTTCTTTACTCTCTATAAAAACATTCCTTCCTAAATTTTAAAAAAAATTGGCACAGTTAGCACATGTCCTATTTAATATCGCTAACAATAATCGAAGCTTCTTCACAATGGGCTCCTAAACTCCCAAATTCGGTAGCCATAATTAAAGTTATTACAAATCAGCTATTAGATGAGTTTAATTGGTTTGAATTGTACAAACATTTTTGAATCTCAGGCCTTCTGTTGATAAATCTTCAAAATCCTGCCACTGAGAAGCTTCTTTCGGTCCACAGCAGGAGTATCAGATCGGCTTTGTCAAAATCTATACGAAAACCAGTTTCCCGTTACGAATAAAGGCAAAACCGTTCCGATTCATATTTTTTATTTGCCATGTCAAAGGAATTGGCGGCAAAAATTCGCGAACGCCACCTGAGCCTAATAAGGAGAACGACCTGAGTAATATTTATGAAGACAGCGTCCATGACAGTATGCAAGTAATGAAAACGACTCCGTTGTATAGTTGGTACGTCCATCAAGCGGTCCCCATATTACGTAAACCATTACACGATGTTAAAATACCAGAATAATTGGTGGCTTGATTTTAATTTTTCAACATAATCGTTTTTGTCTCTCTTTATCGATGATGTATTTCTGAGCGATTATTAATTGGTGTGGCACTTCAGGTACCTACTTATTCCATTTGTTAGAAGCCAATTATTAGTTGAGGAATAATGATTAGGTAATAAGTGAATAATTAGAATAAAGAAGAAGGTTTACTTATAGGAAGATATAAATAATGTGGTGAGAGCCACAACTTTCAACGAATAATGTTTAGAATTAATGATAAACGATAAACTTGAAGTATTTCCATTTCATTTCGTTTAACAACTTAGATCAAATATTTTTAACAAAGGCGCGATTTCCTACGAAAAGGTACTTTGATCTGCCAGCTTGATTCCTAGCTAGGCATTTAGCACATGTTTTGACCTCGATTTTGCCAAACGCTGGACATCTCTGTAACCAAAATATCTGCAAGGAGTTTCTAACATTTTGTTTATCATAGCACAAAGGACTGTGCCATTTTCTTATAGAATCATTAGATAACAACTAACTTAAGAAGTGCATTTTAAATTACAACAATGTCCCATGCCTGAGCTGAGAAAGTTAAAACATCATTGGATGCATGTAGATGACTCTTTTAAGTTCTGACTTCAATAAAGCTTAAGAACATAATCACATCATTCTACCAAGCTAGATATAAATAATAATTATCGCACAGTTTTCCTAAGAAATAAACAACAACATTAATAACCAGCTCTCGCTTGGTGCACTTATGGTAATAGAGTACCGGGCGTTCGAGATATATTTCATACTTATCAGTTCTCAGTCGTTCTTTTGTTCCTCTGGAAAGCATAATACACAACAATTTTGTAATTCACCCAACAACGTAATAATCTTCTTTGTAAAATAGTGGATTAGCTATTTATGAAACGGAAAATTTAAAATGGTTTATTCGTGGTTTTGAGAGTCCATTCACACGCCCGAAATTGGCTTTTTGACCTTTCTAATAAAGACTGATTGAAAGATGATTCTTCTCATGTCATATATTTTGTAGTACCTAATTTTTTATATTCGAAATTATGAGCCAATAACTTAAAAATAGACATTTATTTAGAAATTATTATCTATAGAATACAAACTTTCAACTAAAATCTGCTACGTGTGCGAGTTAATTAATTTTGTGGTTGAATGAGTTTTTTCATAAGATTAGGATTTTACTTTTTCAAAGAATTAGAGAATGGTTCAGTCAAGTTTGCCCCCCGTGCTTCCCCGATTTTAAAACAGACTTTTTTCAACATTTTGCACAAATTCTGCACAATTTTGCACGACCGAAACCAAACTTTGCACACTCCTCTTCGAGAAACTACAGCCTATTTTGAAATGCGGGGTAAGCTTCACAATTCCTCCCCGTTTGTGAGCAAGAAAATTGTAAATTCTTCTAAATTGGTCTATATATTTTGAACAGCTTTGTGGGGAAGTTACGGAGTATCAAAATTCAGTTACAAAATTGGGCAAAATTTTCAAATACATATGTTTTGCACTGCGAGCAAACTCGACTACTCTTTATAGCTTACATAATAATAAAAATATATAGTGATAATCCAGAAGGAAGACACACTCATTTTTGTTGTTGTAAATTGGGCGTAAAAAAGTCAACAAAATTTCAAAATACAGTAGGTAGGTATACATTTATTATTCAACCATATTATTTCATTTCAAGAATACCTTCTGTATTTTTATATAGATTCAGATACCAAAAAATAAATATTATAGGCGCAGTAGAAGTGGTTCTTTAAATTTTGACAAAGTTAATGCACTCTTGACTATAAAAGGCTATTTACCAAAGACACGCTACGTTGTCCTAACCCGGGGCTCGATTCTCCAGGTGGTTCAGTATCGGGTTCTGGGGGACAATCTGAGTGAACTTTATGCCTGGGATGCCTACTGGTTTGACTTCGGGAGCGTGTTGGGCTTCTTGGTGGTGCTGGGGACGTCATCACGTCATCTTACTGAAGATAAATCTCCACTGTCATAGATAATCGTCAGTCTGAAAATAAATATATTGATATCAAGAATTATTTTCGTGAGTGAGCAGTTAAAATTTGATTATCTAGCCACATAAACAGCATGAAACGGTCGTTCATATTATGTAAATACAATACTATTATGTACTTGGAAATGCCATATCAATATCAATAAATTTGCTCATTTCAAATCGTACCCAGTTAATGTAAATACGTTTCCTTTAGTAGATGTCTTTTTTCTTTTATCTTTGAGTGCCTTCAGGAACGTATTTGACACCGCCACTATTGGCACTATTATAGATTTGAAAAGATAAAAAATTTAATATCCTTTGCTAATCTCTTATGTGCAAGGAATTCTCAAATGGAAATATATCTTTATCAATTTTTGCAAAAGCTTTAATGGAAGCTGAAAATGTTACGGACTTTATTATGAATCTCTTAAAGATAAACTGTGGATGGAGCAATAAAGATTCTTCACTTCCTAAATAATAAAGTCCACGTTCAAGTTGATCAAAATATGATAGCTGATTTATTGTGTACTATTAATCTAGCCATATTGTGGTTATCCAATAAGTTGATATTATTTATATTCTGAATACCATGATGCCATGATACAGATACTAGGTTTACAAACATCGCTTGATGCTGGATGGTTTTCTGCCAAAAGGATGAAATTACTTTTTTCCACTCTGGTGGTTTTCTAAATTGAATTTTTAGATTCTACGGAAAAAAAAAATGACAATTTTGAAAACACAGGGAAAAACAAAAGTTTTCCCCGGTTCAGTCCTCGTTGGATGACCCTTGTTACTTACTGCACTAATTCCCGGGGAAGTAAGTGCAAACCAATTTTCAAAAATCTTACATGCATGTTCATACCTTTCTTGTGATGCTTTGGGCAACCGGAGTTTCCCAAACAGTTTCCGCACCTGCAAGTTTGTTCATTTCGACTCTTTTTTTCTGTGAAAGAACTGTTTGGACTTTGAGAAACTCAAAATATCAAAAACCTACCTAAAGAAAAAAAACATATTTTTTGTCAAGAGTATTATTATTTTCATACCTTTCCTCTATTTCACGGTGGAACAAAATTCGATGTCCATTTTAGCAAGAAGTTCCGTGTAAAAATAATATGGATTATTGAGTCCCTAAAAGCAAACACCATTAAATGGTATACAGATGGTTCCAATACTGCTGATTGAGGAGTATCCGGACCACGGAACAGATACTCGGATTCAATGGGCAAATCACCAAGCATCTTCTAAGAAGAATTGCATGCAATCGGAAGATGCGTGCAGTTCAACCTGAACAAAGGATGTCTGACAGCTAAGCAACTATCAAAACATTGAGCTCTCCAGTCATCAATTCTATTAGCATAGTATGGGAATGGCTACAGAAGCTCAAACAGTTGGAAAAAAAACCCTCCTCTGGCAGCCTAGAGACTAGGGATTGAGGGCAACGAATGCGCAGACATACTTGCGAGAACGGGAGCTTCTACTCCGTTTACTGAACTGTTTTGCGGCCTCTGAAATGCGCACTTCCAAGGAATCCTCAAAAAGGAAGAGAACCGGCTAAGAAATAAATAATGGCTAGAACAGCCAGGACTCTAAGAATCTATTGACCCAAAAACTTCTGGTCAACCTTAGCAAGAAAAGTATCAAAGCTCTAACCGAGTTCCTTTCGGCCACTGGCAGACTTAACGAACACCTACGAAAATTGGGGTTGGAAGAAAGTACTACCTTCTCCCTCCGATGGCGATAGTCGTTTGAGGATGGACAATCTCGTAACTAAGTCCCCTGATGGAGTTAGAAGATATTTCATCTTTGGAATCAATGGATAGTGACCCTAGAGAACAAACCGAATTATTTTATATAGATGGCTTAAGTCCCATATTATTTATGTAGCAAATAATAATCAATGTACCCACATCTAAGGTACCCACACCTGATGATCTGGAACATTATCGGCTCTGTGAAGTAGGTAGGCACACTTGGAGAACAAAAGTTACATTTCTCCAAATTAGCAACCCTTGTATTTTCAGAAACATTTCGGTTTTTTGAAATCGTCTGCTTACTGCACACCCAGCAGGAACAAGGAAAGCACCAACGTGCAATTGTAGATAAATCGTTAGTGCTTCAATGTGCTTCAATCCCCAAATTAGCAACCCTTAAATTTTCAGAGATATTTCGGATTTTAGCAATTGCCTGCTCAAACCCAGCAGGAATAAGGAAAGCACCAATATTTAGTTACAGATAAATGGTTAGTGCTTCAATGTGCTTCAATCCCTACATTAACAACCCTTGAATTTCCAGAGATATTCCGATTTTTAGAAATCACCTGCTTAGTTCACACATAGCAGAAACACTGGAACCACCAACGTTCAGTTGTAGATAGATGGCTAGTGCTTCAATGTGCTTCAATCCGCGATTTAGCAACCCTTATATTTTCAGAGATATTTCGGTATTTAGAAATCGCCTGCTCACTTCACACCCAGCAGGAACAAGGGAAGCACCAACCTTCAGTTACAGATAAATGGTTAGTGCTTTGTTAGTGCTTCATGATGCACCACCTCAGCTTTTAGCTAGCAACTCATGCTTCCAGAGATATTTCGACATTTCGCAATTATATTGGCTGTTCTTAGCGGAGGATGTTAGGATACTGAAAAAAACATGGTTCCGGAATATCTCTGAAAATTAAAGGGTTGCTAATTTAGGGATTGAAGCACTAACCATTTATCTGCAACTGAACGTTGGTGCTTCCCTTGTTCCTGCTGAGTGTGAAGTTACCACGCGATTTCAAAAAACCGAAATATCTCCGAAAATACACGGGTTGCTAATTTGGGGATTGAAGCACTGACGAAGCACTAAACGATTACGTAAAATTTAACTTTTGTACTTCAAGTATGCGTGCCTACCTACCTCACAGAGCCAACATTATCACTTCGAAATTTCATTATAAACCTGGCTTTGAAGTGCAATGATTCGAAAGAACCGTTTTATGATTAATTAATATTAACAATGGAAATAGGTAGATAGGTAGGTACTTATTTAAAATCTACAAACTCCACAATAACCATGATAGCTCACATCTAAAACAAAGACATAACGTTAACGACCGACATCCATTAATTCTAATAATCATGAAAACGAGAAGAAACATACCTAACTGTACCACATTTCACTTAAGAAAGACCATTATGATTATTTATATTCTGCCTCCCTTTTTTCATCCGTTATATCATTTAACTAGGTACTTCAGTCGAGTTATCCAGAGCCGGGTGTTGTATTTCAATTTGTTTATTTTTATTGCATTTTGATTTGCTTTGAAAGAGTTCGCTGATAAATAATTCATCTCATGACTACCTAAACATGTATTGGAGTGGTTTCAGAATGGTATAGTACTTAGCTTATGTCACAATATGATTTGCTGTAAAATGTTTTTTTTTTTTATAGTGAAAGAAGTCACTTTCAGGAATAACAATTATCGTTGGATAAATTGCGTAATAGCGTAATAGGTACATATGCATACCAGGAAGATATTATGAGGTGTTATAATGAATGTACTCCATGATTTTTTAAAATAATAAATATAAATAAAGACATAGCCACGCCTATAACTAGGACTATTTAATAAAATATCTGTTTTATCGCCTCACGATGCGCCGTTGTAGTCTGTAGAACAGGCCCTGTTAATAAATCCTATTAAAATCCGATTCATTATTTTATCTTACATCTACTTTAGTATATACGCCCATAAATAAATTTTATAACTCTTTGGAAATCCTACGTGCTTCCTTGATTTGCATAATTGCATTTAAATCTGTAATAAGTTATTGGAAAAATTGCATCTACAATTACCAATTTCAATTGCGTACTGTTTTTTCTTTGACGCTCCTATAGATTTTATTTAATATCCGCCTCCCGCCTCTTATTAAATTAATAAATGAAGCTATCGAATAACCATAATACTAAAATTACCGCCCATATCATAAAACTATCTTCAGTGACTAGTCCCTATGTAACACGAAACCCGCGTGTAGTCTTAACCATATAAAGTTTTGTTTTTGTTCTAGAATACGGGTATTACATAGAACAGGATTTAGAGAAAAAATCGGCAAAACTGAACACTATACTTCCTTGCTTTGGAATACTTAATTATGTAGGTTTGTGCTTTACGCTCTGTAGCTCATAAAACATTGCGTGTTGGCCGTGACTCGCTCACTTGAATCATTTAAACACGACTAAAACGTCGCCGTCGCTTCTGAAGGAAGCGTTTTGTCAATTTTTTCCATTACCACCATTACCGGTACGTAGGTACCTACCGAACAAAACAGGATAATGGCAAAAAATGCATCACAGCTCACGTTCTAAATACGTTTAGATGTTTTTCAGGAAATAGTTGTTTGCATTTGGAGAAACGTAAATGGCCCGAAAGAAAAGGATTAGTAAAGGCCTGAAGAATAAGTAGTATATGTAATGAATTTTAACGATTTTCCAACGTTTAATTAAACGTCTTTTTTGTTCAGAAGACAGCTAGCATTTATATAAGTTTTGCTGATTTCTCAAAAGAATAATGTGCCTACCTATACAAATAATGGGCTTATTATTATGTTATGGAAGTCATTTTAAACATTATACATGCACGTAGACTTCTTTACTGACCAATAAGAATCGTTTACAATGGCTCTGAAGCACATCTTTGATGGTTTCCATGTTTAAGCTCTGAAGAGTGACCATGACCACAATCGTCATTCGTGTTTTCCACTTTGTTAGTTTGGTGACACGTTGTTTAACGTGTAACAAGGAAAGTCTTTTCAAATAACTACAGGCGTTGAAGAGGACTGTACTATTGCAACCAGTTCATTTTCTCTATTTAAAGGATCCATGCTTCACCTTGGAAATACTGTACAAACTTGATGGCGGCTCATTCAACCTAAACAGATTACGAGCCAAGACGAAAGTATCGACGACATCGATAATTGAACTTCAATATGCGGATGATGACGTCGTGATGGTCAATACAGAGGAAC